GGTTCTGTCAGGCATCCATGGCTGCTCTGATCCTTCCCCTGCTTGGTTTCAACCATGATGGCAGCTCCTGGAGCAGTGGAGCGTCTTGAATTAGAAAGCAAGGATTTCTTTCTTCTGCTGCAAATTCCCCTAGCTGTAAGCCTTCCAACCTTCTAAATATTCCTTTATATGTGTTTCAGAGTTCTGGGACCATCCCCTGAGCCTGTTTGGTCCTGTATTCTCTGTTGTTGCTAACGGAGCTCCTCCCTGCACTTCCACCCAATCCGCTATCTTGTTTGTTCTCACCAATGCATCTTGATTGCATGTTTAATCAAATAAAGATCAAAGAAGTTAGTAGAATTCTTCAATTTCATCATCACTGACTTCAGTGGTTAGTGTGTGAATTTGAATAATAGTGGTATTAAGTGGTCTTCCTTGTTGTTGCTGTTGAGTGTCATCTAATTGGTACCAAGTCATAGTGCCCCTATAATGGGTTTCTGAGGAGCAGCTGATGAGCTTGAACCACCAACCTTGAGGTTCAAATCCACCTTGTAGTCCAGCGCATTAACCCACAGTGCCACACCAGGACTTGTAGGCATATGTATATTTTTCTACCACAGACAACATAGTACTTCAGAATAGATATTGAAATGCTCTTTTTGAAGATGAATTCAACACCATTCCTCTTCAGTTTATTGTTCCTGGCATAGTAAACCATGTGTTTGTCAGATTTACAATGACCAATATCAGCCCATTTCAGCTAATTAATGCCTAGGATATTGTTCTTTATGTACTCCATTTCATTTTTAATGACTTCCAGTTTTTCTAGATTAATACTTTGTACATTCCACATTCCAATTATTAATAGATGTTTGCAGCTGTTTCTTCTCATTTGTTCCATCAGCAAGTGAAGGTCCTGAAAATTTTACTCCATCTATGTCTTTAAAATCAAGTCTACTTTAAGGAGGCAGCTCTTTCCTTGTTGTACTTTGAGTGTCTTCCAACCTGCGGGGCCCATCTTCTGGCACTATATCAGACTGCTATTCATAAAGTTTTCAGTGGGTAACTATTCAGAAGTAATCTGCCTCTCCTTCTTCCTTGTCATTCTTAGCTTGGAAAGCTATTTGAAACCTATCCACCATGGGTAACCCTGCTGGTGTGTTAAATACTAATTGCATAGTTTCTAGCATCACAGCAACATCCAAGCCACCACAGCATGAGAAACTGGCAAACTAGGTGGCTTAAAATAACAAATTTATCTTTTCATAGCTCTGAATGCTAGAAATCCAAATTCAACGTGTCAGTAGGACCATGTTCCCTTCTGAAATCTCTTAGGGGAGGAACCTTCCTTGTCTTTTCCAGTTTCTGGAAGCCCAGGCATTCCTTGGCTTGCGATGACTTTACTCCAATCTATGCCTCTGTCTTCCATGCTTGTCTTTCCTCTGTGTAAGTGTCTCTGTCTTCAAATCCCCCTCTTAGAGATAACTGTCATATTTTAGTTTGTTGTTGTTGAGACTCTAGTTTGAAGTAAGGTGACGATTTGAGGCTCCAAGCAAACATAAATTGGGGGGGTGGGGGTGGAGTGTCTCTATTTAACCCAGCACACATTCGAGACCTTAGACCATAGTCAAGTACCTTAGCACCAAATTTTGTGCTTGACACTTCCAGATGCACTGATGTCCTGAGAGTTTTAGCATTTCCCCCAAGGTTACATACACAGCTAGTTAAGTGGTAAAGTTGGGACAAAAGCCATGATCTCCTAAAGCCACCTCTTGCTATCACTTTCCCCTTATACAGGTAATGCTGACTTTAAATAACAGGAGAGTGAAAGGCTTCACTTGGATCATAGCCCCGGCCTTGACCTCCCTAGGCTACCTGCTCATACTACTGGTCTCCATCTTCCCCTTCTGGGTACGGCTTATGAATAAGGAGTCCCAGGAAGACTATTTCAGTGGTCTGTTTGAGAACTGCTTCCATATCAAATGCTGGAAACCTCGACCCTTGTCCAGTAAGGAGGGATGTGGATGGGGAAGGGGGAAGGAAGAGCCAGGGTCAGTGTGAGGTCCTGGGGACTATGGGACAGGTGAGGAGCAGAGAGAATAGAATTTAATAAGCCTATGAAGGCATTTCCTCTATTGCCTTGGGATTTAAAGAAAGTAGGCCAGCAAGGGGTTAATAATGTTAGATTGCTTATTGGAGTCCGGAGTACATGTGTCAGCAACAAAGTTTGCTTCTAGGATAGAAGTCTTCTACACGGGATGAGGGAGGAGGACCCTGCTCTACTCTGTGAGGCTAAACTACCTCTCATGGATGTTGTATGGATGGGCCTGAATCATGCCCACAGAAGGAGAATAAATCTGATTAGTAGATTCTGACTCTGCTATTTTAAAAAAATCTATTTCATTACTCTTATTAGCTAGGAAGATTAAACAGGAGTTTGGGGGCTTCCTGTGACGTTCAGAACATTTTGACCTCAGTAAGTTCTGATTTCCCTTGGGTGAGTTTTTTGTTATATCAGAATACACATTTGATTCTTCACTTTTCTATGTACAATACATTTGATCATGAGAGCTCCATTATATGGTGTTTATGAAAACCACTGTTGCCCCCACATCGATGGTGCAATATAACCAAAACACATCATATTTACTAAGAATTGGATTATGGTTTCAGTGTATGGATTTATCAATCTAACTTTTTTTTCATACAATTTCATGTTGTTGAGAACCAAATGGTGAGGCCAGAATCTCCTTAGGGCCAAAGTGGCAGGGCCAGAACCATAGCCCAGAGCCCTTGCTTTGGGACCTGAGAGTGGTGGAGGCCTTTGGTGATCAAGCTCTCAGCTCAGTCCTGACTCTCCTCCCCTGCAGTTTATATCCTGCTTGGCCGGATTTTCCTGCTTGCTGCAGTCATCTTGTCTTTTGTCACAACCTTCATCATGGTGTCCTTTGCAGCTCAGCTCTTCCCAAGGATCCGGAAGCACAACTTTGTGTCAGCCTCCATCAGCTTCCTCACAGGTGTGAACAACTGGGCAGGTCTTGTTCTCAGGCAGTCTCTATCCTTTGGCAGGGAGCTGGAGAGGACCAAAGGAAGTGGGGACAGGGGTTAGTGTCTGTCTGTGGTAATGCAGTGGTTACGAGTCGGGCTGCTAACCTCGTCAGCAGTTCAAAACTATCAGTTGTTCTGCAGGAGAAAGATGAGGCTTTCTGATCCCATAAAGATTTACGGCCTCCGAAACCTTATGCAGGGTGGATTTGTGTTGGAACTGACTCCACAGCACATAACCACTACTACCATGGGAAGCATCAAGGATGTTAAGAGAGGTTTTTTGTTTTTTTAAAAGACCCCACTCCTCTGTTGCCTTCTCTTATGAAGCCTTACCCAAGTAACCCACCCCAACGCCTGCCCTCTCAGAATGTATGGCCCCTCCTTGGTGGGGCTTCTGAGCACTCTATACTTCCAGTAAGCACAGCCCTTACCCAAATCTGTAACCCAGCAACTGTCACAGAATTTGGCCTAGGATAGTGAAATATAAAAAAAAGTTTTTGGTTTTTTTTTTTAATGTTTTATTGTGAATTATGTGATAGTTTACATGGGAGAACATTAGCTTTACATTCATCCTATTGTATATCGTTACATTACCATGGTTACAATCCCCTCTATGCATCATCAACCAATCAAATGGTACACCCCACAAGCCTGTCCCCTGGTCGTCAGCACACAGCCCCTCTCCCTCTCTGGGTCTAGAGTCCCCAGACGCTCCATCTCTCCACGTCATCATCTCTGCCTCCATCTCTGGAGTCACTGTTTCTCTGGGTAGGGTCCCGCACTACACTTTCTCCTTTGATGGTCCTAGGGTCCTCTGCTCCTGGCCTGCAAAGTCAACTTTTGCTACAAAACGTCTTACTTTATACTCCCCTCCTTTTGCTACAAAACGTCTTCCTTTATACTTCCAACCCTCACAGTCAGTCCTAACAGCAATTATTCACTATTGTACCACATGAGTGCTATCCCCATCTCCTTTCATCAATCCCGCCCAGACAGATTGGATACTTACAAGAAAGTTTTTTGACTGCATGGGTAGACTCTGCTCTTTGCAACTTTTTGACTTTAAAGGGGTCACAAAGGCCTTACTCTGAGGTCTCCCACTCTACATCTGTGGAGTAGATAGACTGGACATAGTGGGAAAATCAGGATGAGTTTAATCCACAATGTCCCACCCAGAAGGACCACCCTGAAGTCCCTCAAGTTCATGGGCTTTTGATAATGGGATGCTTGAGGAGGGGAGGCATGTAGGCTTTGAGATGAGTTCTGAAGAAGAGGACATGCATGTGGAGTACGGATTATTGACTTAGAGAAGGCAAGAGCTATAGGCAGGATGAATGTTGCAAAGGTAAAGGCAGACGTTTTGTAACAAAAGGAAGGGAGTGGTTGGTCTTGCAGTCCAGGATCAGAGGACCCTGGGACCATCAAGGGAGAAGAGTGGAGTGTGGGACCCTATCTAGAGAAGCAGTGACACCAGAGATGGAGGCAGAGACGATGACGTGGAGAGATGGAGTTGCTGGGGACTCTGGACTCAAGGAGGGAGAGGGGCTGTGTGCTGACGGCCAGGGGGCAGGCTGCAGGGTGCACCCTTTGGTTGTTTGAATGGTTATATATTCCTGAGTGTTTTGGTGTACTTCCAAAAATAAAACAGAGGAAAAAATAAAATAAAATAAATCAGAGGGAATGGAAGCAAATGTTGTTGATTGATGATGCATGGAGGGGATTGTAATCATTGCAATGAAACGAAATATGATAGGATGAATATAAAGCTGATGTTCTCCCAAGTAAACTATCACTCAATTCACAATAAAAAGTTTTTGTTTTTTTTTATTTAAAAAAAAAAAAGGTATAGACAGGATAAAGGACTCTCCAAGCAGAAGCCACATAGGTTTGAGGCCTGTTGCTTCTCCTGAATAAGTTTGGGGAAGGCTAAAACAAGAGTGGGAATCATGAAAGGAGAGCAAAAACACCTTCCTGTGGTTCTGTAGGGGCCTGTGCTTTCCTGGCCTTGTTGCTGCATGCCCTGGAGATCCGGGAGTTGAGGATGAAGCCCAGCCCTCCACAGTTCTCTGTTCAGTGGCCTTACTACATCCTGGGTGTTGGCATCCTTCTGTTCATAGTGGCTGGTGAGTGTCCTGGGGTTGGTGCCCCACTCCTGCCCTCTATCTGGATTCAGGCCATCTGTAGGGCCTCTTTAGAGTTGCACTGTGCAAAACTATACCTACTACCCACATGTGGCTATTTAAATTTATATTCATTAAAATGGAATAAAGTCTTAAGTGCTTTTGGTCAGTCACACTAACCATGTTTCAAATGTCCTGTGTCTATTGGCTACCATAATGAACAATGCAGATATAGAAATGTCCTTCACTGCAGAAAGTTCTATTGGACAGTGCCACTCTAGAGTTCCAACCCTATTTCCCAACTTTGCCCTTTGTATTCTTCTTCTTGACTTTAGGACAAAATTACCATACTTCCCCATATTCTTTTCCAAATTACCATACTTCGCCATACACTCTCTTGGTATCTAAGGCTTTCTATTCCTGTCCCTGTCTTTTTCAAAATCTATGGTCTTATTCTTTTTTTTTTTTTAATGTTTAATTATGAATTATATGATAGTTTACATGAGAGAACTTTAGTTTTACATTCATTCCATCGTATATCATTTCATTGCCATGGTTCCAATCCCCTCCATGCATCA